AGAAGCTGTAACATTTGATGCCTTTATTCAGCCGATGATACTGGTAGTTTGGTTTTCAATGGCACTTTAAGTACATTACTGATATACCATGAGGGATGAGAGCCTTTCCTAGGGACACGGATGCAGGTGACTCAGGCTGGCCTGGACTGGTATCGAACTCTCAAATCTTAAATTACAAAGTCGATTCATTGTCAACCGAGTTTTTATTGATCTCACATCCTATTTATTGACGCTAGAGCTGAATGCGAGGGGCCTCTACATCCTTTCTTTCCTAACAAATGCAAAGATGAAATACTACTTACTAATTTACATCTCAATGTCCTTTGCCGATGTATGGTTAAGCCCAGGCCATAATATCGATCTATGGGTATAATTGAAAGGCAGCGAGGCATGTTCGAGTTCATTCATGCATGGTAATGTATATTATGATAAACACAAAATAAAAATTCTCAGAGAGGTTGAGGATTCATGTAATGCGTCGGTCTGGCGAAGAATTGCTGTTGTTGGTGTGGGTTTAAAGTTCTTTTCAGCATTGATGGGTTATATACGGCGGCCAGATGAAAAACCCGGGAAGAACCACAGACCCAGTGAAAACTACTGGCAAGCTTACCCACACACCTACGTTAGCCGAGATTCTACTCTATGTGGGCTGAGATTGGACGTCTGAGGGATCTTAAAAAGCTAGCGCCTTTGACTACTCTACCAACAGGGGACCTACGATGCAGTGCAAAAAAAAAATGAATAAAATATTTAACATAATAACCTGACATCTTTACCAGACGAAAAGTGTTATAATTTGTTTAACATGAAAAGTGGTTGTCTTTCAATATCGAAATCACTTCATTTTGGTGTTTTAAAGAGACCAAACTGACGAACACCGTCTGAATTAAAACGAAATCATTTGTCTGTTTCAGCTTTGAAATTATTTTGGATAGATATGTTAAAACATTAGCATTTAAAAATAGTTCAACTGTTTATACAACAATATGTACACAGGAATCAATCTTGTCACCTGATGCATCAGTTTTTTTAAAACTATTCTTGTAAAACTCCGAAACTATCAAATGAATAATTTATTATTAGAGCTTAAAATTGTCTTATCCGGGGAATGTATTAAAGCTAGGAAACCCGATAACTACTTTGATGGTGTGAAACGTAATTGCATGATAATGGATAGTAAATTTGATGATAAAAACTTTCTTTTGTTGCAACTCCATGGTCTTAAATTATATATTAGAAAGAAAGTGAAAATAAGTTTTAATAAATTTCAACAAACAATTGTTTTCACTAGAATACAGAGCAAATGTTCAAAGATAATTTCAGTATTGTAAATTAATGTCGAAAATATCTTATACGCTCTATCACTAGTCAAAAAGTACAAAATGTTGCGAATGAATAGAAATAGTATTGAATGTGTTGATGTATCAGAATCATCTTATATTTAATATCTTTGAATAAATACGTCCTCAAGAATCCCAAAGTTGCGTTCTAGTCCAAAAAGTCAGTGAACACTTTGTATTTCGAATGATTAATATATATATATATATATATATATATATATATATATATATATATATATATATATATATATATATATATATATATATATATAATTCCTCTCAAAATACCACAACACATAGATTATTCCAAAGATTGATCTTTAGACAGGTATGAATAAGCGTTTACCAAATATCTTTGTATTCATGTTTCATTTGACCTACAAGGCAGCAGTATTTTCTATGGATAAACCCAAGTCTTGAACTTAAAAGTCGGATCTTGTTTACTTCTTAGTCATGATAAAAGTCATGTAAGCACAAACCACAATCACGGACAAAAACACAGGATATCTATACAAATCCTTTGCATGATAATCCAACAGCGAATCGATGACCAAAACTTTGCTTGCATTATAACCGAAGATGCAAATCGACGATATATACTTGCTCAAACGCAAAAACTTGCCGAAATTGGCATATCAGTTGCGTATTAGACAAACGTTTCAAATTTTTAAATGTATTTGCTGGATACAACATTCAATCTTTTACGAAAGGTGACTTCTATAAAATGAATCCTTACGGTGGATTTTTGTCATTGGTGACTTGGATATTATTCTTTGTTCAAATTACATGTATTTCAGCAGAAAATATGTAAAACATCTCTAATTACAAGAATCGTCAGAATGTGGGACATTTGTGTTGCCATGTATTATTCCCGCCTTTTGGGTGCGCGGTACGGTTGGAGCCAGTCCGCCTATACATCAATACATTCATTTATACTTAGTGCTGGGGAAATACATCTTAAGGTACAGGTTTCATATGTAATGAGACAATTAATTAACGACGATTGACAAGATTAATCTTGCTCAGTGAATTCGTCTCGTGATTTATTTCTACCTGGACGCTAAGAATGTATTTATATATCTCACTTGTATTAAGCTTACATCTTATTAACTGACATGTATTTCAAGGATATATGAAACCCGATGCCCTCTACTCCTTTGAAAATGTGAAACAGAACTCTATATTACATAGTTTAGTTTGGAAAGGAGACAAAATAAAATAGAAAATTCCATTTTGTTACCTATGTTATATTGCATAAATAAATTAATGGCACATTTAGTCAGTCTTATGGATATATCTTACATAAATTAAATATCTGAAACTAAAATATAGGTGTACATAGTGTTCTATGCAACATATAATTATTATATACAAACATGTATATAGTAATATATGTCAACATGGAATTATTATATACAAACATGTATATAGTAATATATGTCAACATGGAATTATTATATACAAACATGTATATAGTAATATATGTCAACATGGAATTATTATATACAAACATGTATATAGTAATATATGTCAACATGGAATTATTATATACAAACATGTATATAGTAATATATGTCAACATGGAATTATTATATACAAACATGTATATAGTAATATATGTCAACATGGAATTATTATATACAAACATGTATATAGTAATATATGTCAACATGGAATTATTATATACAAACATGTATATAGTAATATATGTCAACATGGATTTATTATATACAAACATGTATATAGTAATATATGTCAACATGGAATTATTATATACAAACATGTATATAGTAATATATGTCAACATGGAATTATTATATACAAACATGTATATAGTAATATATGTCAACATGGAATTATTATATACAAACATGTATATAGTAATATATGTCAACATGGAATTATTATATACAAACATGTATATAGTAATATATGTCAACATGGAATTATTATATACAAACATGTATATAGTAATATATGTCAACATGGAATTATTATATACAAACATGTATATAGTAATATATGTCAACATGGAATTATTATATACAAACATGTATATAGTAATATATGTCAACATGGAATTATTATATACAAACATGTATATAGTAATATATGTCAACATGGAATTATTATATACAAACATGTATATAGTAATATATGTCAACATGGAATTATTATATACAAACATGTATATAGTAATATATGTCAACATGGAATTATTATATACAAACATGTATATAGTAATATATGTCAACATGGAATTATTATATACAAACATGTATATAGTAATACATGTCAACATGGAATTATTATATACAAACATGTATATAGTAATACATGTCAACATGGAATTATTATATACAAACATGTATATAGTAATATATGTCAACATGGAATTATTATATACAAACATGTATATAGTAATATATGTCAACATGGAATTATTATATACAAACATGTATATAGTAATATATGTCAACATGGAATTATTATATACAAACATGTAGGTGTATATAGTAATATATGTCAACATGGAATTATTATATACAAACATGTAGGTGTATATAGTAATATATGTCAACATGGAATTATTATATACAAACATGTAGGTGTATATAGCAATATATGTCAACATGGAATTATTATATACAAACATGTAGGTGTATATAGTAATATATGTCAACATGGAATTATTATATACAAACATGTAGGTGTATATAGTAATATATGTCAACATGGAATTATTATATACAAACATGTAGGTGTATATAGTAATATATGTCAACATGGAATTATTATATACAAACATGTAGGTGTATATAGTAATATATGTCAACATGGAATTATTATATACAAACATGTAGGTGTATATAGTAATATATGTCAACATGGAATTATTATATACAAATACATATGGCGCTGTAATGGTTGTGCTTCAATTTTTCCAAGAAAGCGTTAGGAACATCGTGAAAATATTGCATAAATGGGCTGAATAACTAACATACGAGCATGATCAAAGTTCCATTTATTCCTAACCTGGTCGGATGAGGCAGACAAATAAATGTTAGTACAACAAATTATCAACAGTCTGTACTAATTCTGGTTTGATGCATTTATTGCAGCCATTAGTAAACAAATTCTATAAGAACGGATATGTATGTATGTATGTATGTATGTATGTATGTATGTATGTATGTATGTATGTATGTATGTATGTATGTATGTATGTATGTATGTATGTATGTATGTATGTATGTATGTATGTATGTATGTATGTATGTATGTATAAGGTTAAACAGTTTGTCCCCAATATCATGGCTATATAGTGTTAGAAAAGATAGTATCAATGGCAAATATCAAAATAGATTTAAAGATCCCACCCACTCAAACTATCCGAATAATTAGTATTCGTGATATGATGTGATGTGATTATAATTTTTAACGTAGCTTTAACAATTTGTCAGTCATATCGCTACGATATCTGCAGTGTGGCAATTTATAGTGATGTCTAGCACTGGGGCATCATGCCGCAGACATGTAGCATGATGTCCCACCCAGTCACATTATCCTGACACCTGGTATACCAATCCTAACACTAACCTCTTAATGCTAAGCGTCAAGCGAGGCAGCTGTTAGTACAATTTTTGTAAGTCTTTGGTATGTCTCGACCGGGGATCGAACCCACGACATCCCGCATCCGAGGCGGACGCTCTAACCACATAGGCCATTGTAGCGGTTTTTTTAGTATTCGTCATGGAACAAAATATAATTGGAAAGATAATGCCAAAATACCCAAAAGGCATACCAAGCAAAGAAAAAGTCATATTGGATAAAATATTCGAAATGCATGATCAAAACCAATGGTATGGAGCAGGTGTTGGTGTGGGGGAAGCACCAGCTACTAGATGTTGATACGTATGAGAAATTGATGCATACTTGACATAAAATACACGTTAGCTCAATTGCCAGTTCTGAACTCTCCAATTCTCTGTAAGAAGGTGGCTGTTACATCCGCATTACGTGATTGGTCATGTCTGTCCGTTCGTCCATCACTCAGTTGTCTTTTAGCCTGAACAAATCTAAACCGACTAAGGTAGGTTGATTATTATTGCTATGATCTTTCAAGTACCCTTCAACTCTCCCTAAATGGATTAGGGATGAATATCCAATTCCACAGGGTACGAGCTATTTGCTAGATGTTGTAACAATCTTGCAGATAGTTTTGGTTCTAGAGCTGCAAGTGCACCCAAGATAAGAAATTCTGGAGCCCCAAATGCAACGAAAAAGTGAAATTCAAATGTTAAAGAGCAGTTAATTGGCGCTTAATTCCACATACACTGTATTTTAAACACATAAGATGAATACATGTCTCTAATGTCAATAGTGAATGAAATAAGTTGATTTTCACGGCATACCGCCTTCGTAAACACTATCCCACGCACAACTTTAATTAGCTACATGTAAAAGGTGCATTTCCCACACGTTTTGTTTAATTAAATATAATTCCTTTATCACACTTACTTCATCTAGACTAGACATATATTGATAAAGTATTTTGTCAAGAATGGTTTGGAGCAAATAGCTTTATTCGTTTATACCAGTAAAACAACGACTATAATCTGCTAATAATACACAGCAACTAAAAATTAAAAGAACAAATACGTTTGAAGAATTTAACATTTTCATCCACTAGCATGTATTGTAATGGAAAAAAAATTCAAGAAATAGTAATCTACAAAATAGTGAAGCCATGGACATCGGAAAGGACCTCTGATTGATATCACTGTTTCATTCGGATAAATACAATGCTGCTGCAAATAATAGTAACACTGAATTTTTAAATATTTAATATTTTAAATTTTACTCTTTGCTAGAATGAGTTCCGCAGAGTTTTAAACCCCCTAATATTTCGAAAACAACGGCGTTAAATACGTTACATTCACAAAGTTTATCACTTTTAGGGAATAAGTTAGATACAAATGCAAAGTTTTCGTCCCCAATAGTCATACTCAGACTTAGTGCCTTCATCATTATAATCAGTGTTTTCATGATCATAGTCAGACATAATGCCTTCAAAATTATAACTAGTGTTTTCATGATCATAGTCAGACTTGTGCATTCATTATTATAATCAGTGCTTTCATGATCATAGTCAGACTTAGTGCCTTCATCATTATAATCAGTGTTTTCATGATCATAGTCAGACTTAGTGCCTTCATCATTATAATCAGTGTTTTCATGATCATAGTCAGACTTAGTGCCTTCATAATTATAATCAGTGTTTTCATGATCATAGTCAGACTTAGTGCCTTCATAATTATACTAAGTGTTTTCATGATCATAGTCAGACTTAGTACCTTCATAATTATAACTAGTGTTTTCATGATCATAGTCAGACTTGTGCATTCATCATTATAATCAGTGTTTTCATGATCATAGTCAGACTTAATGTCTTCATTATTATAATCAGTGTTTTCATGATCATAGTCAGACTTAGTGCCTTTATCATTTTAATAAGTGTTTTCATGGTCATAGTCAGAATTAGTGCCTTCATTATTATAATAAGTGTTTTCATGATCTTAGTCAAACTTGTGATTTCATAATTATAATAAGTATTTTCATGACCATAGTCAGACTTAGTGCCTTCATAATTATAATAAGTGTTTTCATGATCATAGTCAGACTTAGTGCCTTCATAATTATAATAAGTGTTTTCATGATCATAGTCAGACTTAATGCCTTCATACTTATAATAAGTGTTTTTTTGATCATAGTCAGACATAATGCCTTCAAAAGTATAATCAGGGTTTTCATGATCATAGACTTAATGCATTCATAATTATAATCAGTGTTTTCATGATTATCGTTAGACTTAGTGCCTTCATAATTAAAATAAGTGTTTTCATGATCATAGTCAGACTTAGTGCCTTCAAAACTATAATCAGTGTTTTCATGATCATAGTCAGACTTAATGCCTTCATAATTATAATAAGTGTTTCCATGATCATTGTCAGTCTAAGTGCCCTCGTCATTATAATTAGTGTTTTCATGATCGTAGTCAGACCTAATGCCTTCATCATTATAATCTGTGTTTTCATGATGAGAGTCAGAAGTAATGCCTTCATAATTATAATCAGTGTTTTCATGATCATAGACTTAAGGCCTTCATAATTATAATAAGTGTTTTCATGAACATAGTCAGACTTAATGCCTTCATCATTATAATCAGTGTTTCCATGATCATAGTCAGACTTAGGGCCTTTATCATTTTAATCAGTGTTTTCATGGTCATAGTCAGACTTAGTGCCTTCATAATTATAATACGTGTTTTCATGATTATAGTCAGACTTAGTGCCTTCATTTTTATAATCAATATTTTCATGATCATAGTCAGACTTAGTTATTTCATAATTATAATCAGTGTTTTCATGATCATAGTCAGACTTGTGCCTTCATTATTATAATCAGTGTTTTCATGACCATAGTCAGACTTAATGTCTTCATAATTATAATACGTGTTTTCATGATTATAGTCAGACTTAGTGCCTTCATTTTTATAATCAATCTTTTCATGATCATAGTCAGACTTAGTTATTTCATAATTATAATCATTGTTTTCATGGTCATAGTCAGACTTGTGCCTTCATAATTATAAACAGTGTTTTCATGACCATAGTCAGACTTAGTGCCTTCATAATTATAATCAGTGTTTTCATGATCATAGTCAGACTTAATGCCTTCATAATTATAACTAGTGTTTTCATGATCATAGTCAGACTTAGTGCCTTCATCATTCTAATCAGTGTTTTCATGATCATAGTCAGACTTAATGCCTTCATAATTATAACTAGTGTTTTCATGATCATCGTCAGACTTGTGCCTTCATAATTATAATCAGTGTTTTCATGATCATCGTCAGACTTAGTTATTTCATAATTATAATCAGTGTTTTCATGATCATCGTCAGACATGTGCCTTCATAATTATAATCAGTGTTTTCATGATCATCGTCAGACTTAGTTATTTCATAATTATAATCAGTGTTTTCATGATCATAGTCAGACTTGTGCCTTCATAATTATAATCAGTGTTTTCATGATCATAGTCAGACTTAGTTATTTCATAATTATAATCAGTGTTTTCATGATCATAGTCAGACTTGTGTCTTCATAATTATAATCAGTGTTTTCATGATCATAGTCAGACATAATGACTTCATAATTATAATCATTGTTTTCATGGTCATCGTCAGACTTAGTTATTTCATAATTATAATCAGTGTTTTCATGATCATAGTCAAATGTAATGCCTTCATCATTATAATCAGTGTCTTCATGATCATAGTCAGACTTAATGCCTTCATCATTATACTAAGTGTTTTCATGATCATAGTCAGACTTAATGCCTTCATAATTATACTAAGTGTTTTCATGATCATAGTCAGACTTAGTTACTTCATAATTATAATCAGTGTTTTCATGATCATAGTCAGACTTAGTGACTTCATAATTATAATCATTGTTTTCATGATCATCGTCAGACTTAGTGCCTTCATAATTATAATCAGTGTTTTCATGATCATAGTCAGACTTAGTGCCTTCATAATTATAATAAGTGTTTTCATGATCATCGTCAGACTTAGTTACTTCATAATTATAATCAGTGTTTTCATGATCATAGTCAGACTTAGTTACTTCATAATTATAATAAGTGTTTTCATGATCATCGTCAGACTTGTGCCTTCATAATTATAATCAGTGTTTTCATGATCATAGTCAGACTTAGTGCCTTCATCATTATAATCAGTGTTTTCATGATTATAGTCAGATTTAGTGCCTTCATAATTATAATCAGTGTTTTCATGATCATAGTCAGACTTAGTGCCTTCATAATTATAATAAGTGTTTTCATGATCATCGTCAGACTTAGTTACTTCATAATTATAATCAGTGTTTTCATGATCATAGTCAGACTTAGTTACTTCATAATTATAATAAGTGTTTTCATGATCATAGTCAGACTTAGTGCCTTCATAATTATAATAAGTGTTTTCATGATCATCGTCAGACTTAGTTACTTCATAATTATAATCAGTGTTTTCATGATCATAGTCAAATGTAATGCATTCATAATTATAATAAAAAGTGTTTTAATGATCATAGTCAGACTTAGTGCCTTTATAATTATAATCAGTGTTTTCATGATCACAGTCAGACTTAGTTACTTCATAATTATAATCAGTGTTTTCATGATCATAGTCAGACTTTATGCCATCATCATTATAATCAGTGTTTTCATGATCATAGTCAGACTTAATGCCTTCATAATTATAATCAGTGTTTTCATGATCATACTCAGACTTAGTGCCTTCATGATTATAATCAGTGTTTTCATGATCATAGTCAGACTTAATGCGTTCATAATTATAATCAGTGTTTTCATGATCATAGTCAGACTTTATGCCATCATCATTATAATCAGTGTTTTCATGATCATAGTCAGACTTAATGCCTTCATAATTATAATCAGTGTTTTCTTGATCATAGTCAGACTTAATGCCTTCATCATTATAATCAGTGTTTTCATGATCATAGTCAGACTTAGTGCCTTCATAATGATACTAAGTGTTTTCATGATCATAGTCAGACTTAATGCCTTCATAATTATAATCAGTGTTTTCATGATCATAGTCAGACTTAATGCCTTCATAATTATAATCAGTGTTTTCATGATC